ACTTCTATCCTTATACATAACTCCGAATCATATAAAGAACACCCCACTCGACGCAATTGATCCTACTGATAGTCAACATTACATAAATCTGAAAGATATATACCTGGGATTGGGTGTTGCTAATCAAGTTTCTCTCCCAGAGCTACATGCAAGTACCAAAGAAGTTACAGTGATGAAACAGAAATGCCTGAATTTTATCGTTAAAGCATGCGTGGGTATTCGGAAAAGATGCAGCTTGAATGACCCAGTTTTGAGCTCAATCGCAAAGTTGGATCCGGGTTCTTGCTTATCTGATAATAGACTACAGTCTTTGTCGTCACTGTTCCCAGTGCTGCCAAGGTTTAAACCCCAAACTTTAAATGATCAACAGACGTTAGATGACGAATGGAGAAACTTAATTTTGACTGCAAATGAACTACATTTGAATACAAATCAACCAGCAGACGTGTTTTGGCATCAGGTATAATTTTACCATTTAAGAACTTTACGTAATATTTCACATATATTATCATTTCACAGATTTGTTTTTTTTTTCAGTTGTCTCAAATCAAAGATAGCAACGGCGATAATAAATACCATTTTCTGCCTCGTTTTACGCTTCAAGTTTTATCGTTGCCTCACTCAAACGCTGAGTGCGAACGAAAGTTCAGCGAAATAAATAATATAAAAACAAAGCAGAGAAACTGTTTAGTCACAAATACCATCAAAGGCAACATGCTAGCTCAGCAAGCTATTCAGCGGACTTCCGAAAATTGCGTGAATTTCAATCCAACTAAGGAAATGATTTCAAGAATGACAGCAAAGATTTATGAAAATCATGAGCAAATTGTTATGGAATAAGAAAATAAATAATTTTTTTTTTGTATCTAAATGTATGTTTTTATTTATTTAATAAATTATAGCAATTTGTATTGATAAACAAAGTCATAAAGCAGCTTATTTTTCTATCAATATTTAAATAAAGTTTTATTGTAATTTTACTGTAATCGATTTTGAAATCTGCTGTATAGTTTTTAGAAACTCCTGTATTTTTTAACTGGCAACACTGTAATTTTACTTTTGTAATCTGGAAGCACTGCTGTCAGCTATTATTTATTCTGAACTATCAGGTGAGTGTTTGTAAAAAGTGTAAATAAAATGCCTAAAGGTCTTAAAAGTGATGCGCGATAGATTATCCTAAAAGTTTTATCATTTATGAAAGAAGAGAAACCTATATGAGTCCCAACTATACCATTTGAAAAGCTGTATGAACGCGTTGCTGCCGCGACAGGTTAGTATTGCCAGATATGGAAAATTAAAATCACCAAATAATGTACTTGTGAAACATAGTAAAAAAATTAACTCAATTTACTGCAATTCATCTAAAGTGCCTAGCTTTATAGTTTGTGTTGCTAATGTTCTAATGCCCCAATTAACTGAAGATTCATTTCATAAAATTACACCGATGCAGTGGAAAAACATTTGTAATCATGTAAAAAAAATTGAAAATGAATACAGACTAAAAGACGCGTATTTAAATGAACCCTTTATTATAGTGTCAGAGCGATAGTGAAAGCGATTCCGGAAGATGAATTATTGGAATCAGTAGCTAACGCGGGTACATTTTTCAAAACAGAAATTCCTGGAATTCGGCCGCTTGAACTCCCAGATCACGACCATAATTATTTTTATAAAATATAAATAGTATATATAATAACACTAATTCTCACTAGTTTTAATATATTATCACGAAATTTGTTTTATTTTATATTATGTGTAATGAATATGTTGTTACCTATTTCCTCGGTGAATTTCTTAAATGGCAATAGTAAGCACTCCACTAGCGACGCTGTCAACTGAACAGATAAGTTGGTGGCACTATATAGTGCCACCAACTTATCTGTGAACTGACAGCTTGGCGCTTCTGCACTGAAGTGTTGCCAGTTCGGGAATATTCCCATCTAAGGGTCTTATTATCTTACATAGAGTCCACATACTAGGGTAATAAATTAGTCACGGAAGAAAAAGACTAGAACACAGATTTAACAGATATATGTCCAAGAACAAGAAGAAACAAAAATATCATAATTGAACAATTTAAACTTTAATTAAATGATATGCCTTTATGCCTTTTTTACCGGGCGTTGTAATAATCGTTCCTGTGGTTTATGCGGTTTCCGGTTCTATAACTATTTTGGAAATGAATCCTTGACTAACATCTGAAAAAGAAATGAATTGCATTAACCAATCCATTTATCGGAAATACGAAAGGAAGGAACAAAACATAGCAGCTGATACTCTTTTATAGACCTGATTGAAAGACATAATCGGTGCTTACCCTCGAGTTTCTTGCTCACAAACGTTTAATACTTATAAAATAATGTTTCGGGCATCACTTTTAATGGTTCTCGGCATTTTTTATTTTTCTATAAACTCTCAAAACAATGACGTATCGAGTGACATTTGATTAAATGGCGGCTGTAGTTCACAATTTTGCCGCAACTGTCAGTTCACAGATAAGTTGGTGGGACTATAATTAGTATATTCTTTGACATTGTTGGTGCATTTAGTAACGTTAATCTTCATGTACTCGCCGCAGAGTTGAGGTCTTTGGCCATTCCTAAAAAAATTGTAAAATGGATATTTCACTTTTTAAATGAAAGAAGAGTTTTTGCTAAAGTTAATAATAATAATAATACAATTATTGGTCCTAGGCTCAGTTATAAAAGTGTTTGTCAAGGAGGAATATTAAGTCCTCTTATCTTTATTTTATACATATTTAAATTAAACAATATTTTATGATCAAATGTTACTAATTTACAATATGCAGATGATTCATATATGCCTCATAAGATAGTCATATATGCCTCAGGAACAAATGTCAAAAACTTGCTAACCACTTTAAATGAGGCTTTAAAGAAATTGCACATTTACTTATTATACTTAAATTTAGATATTAGTACTGAGAAAAGTAAAGTCGTAATATTTAATAAAATTCGTCCATTTAACACTAGAATAATTTATAATAATACATATTTACCAATAGAAAGTTGTGCAAAATTCTTAGATGTAATTTTTACAAATAATTTATCTTGGACCAAATACGTGAATTCTATTTCAGACAGAGCTTCTAAGGCCTTTAATGTATTAAAAGCTTTGGCTAGTTCTAACTGGGGAGCTGATCCAGAAATATTATTATGTTATATAAGTCTTTGGTGAGGAGTCATTTTGAGTACGGCTTTCTTTGTTTTGCATCAAATACAAAACTAGTAAATAAATTAGAAAATATACAAAATAAGAATTTAAAACTTGTTACCGGCTCTATGAGAACAACTCCTATTGTTTCTTTACAGGCTGAATGTCTTACTCCTCCTATCTTACTTAGGTTTAAATATCTGAAATTTAGGTTTTATTAAATATTAATTCTTTGTCTCATCATCCTCTTTTTCAAAAAGTATTATTTTACTATAATAGTATGATTCCTATATCTTACTCAGCCCCATATATACTCCATGACTTTCATGAAGTGATACGATATGATGAACAATATAATATTCACAAAAGCACAAATACTTGGCCTTGTTATAAGGGGAATTATGAAAGTAAATTCAGTGATATACACATAAATATTAATGAAAAATTTAAAAGAAAAAAAGAGGTTTATGAACTTATATCTACATATGATGAATATCGACAAATTTACACAGATGGTTCAAAAGTTGAAAATAAAGTAGCCTGTGCATTTTACATACCTCATCTGAAAACTGAACGTGGCCTTTCCATTCCTGCATTAGTAAGCATATACACTGCAGAATGTTATGCTGTCTTAATCGCTCTTAAATATATATAAGAACACCCACATGTATCTAATAAATGGTTACAGATATCTGATAGCATGAATGTCTTGAAGGCACTGAAGGCAAGAGCTTTAGATGCTAAAACGTCTTTCATCATATATGAAATCAAAAGTTTGTGGTGGAAATTGAAAGAAAATAATTTGGAAGTAAAATTTTTATAGACTCCGTCACATATTGGGGTTGAAGGAAATGAAAGAGCAGACCATTTAGCTAAAAGTATAGTTACAGCTGATATTGAAAGGACAACCGATGTTGCAATACCACATACAGATTTATATTCAATTTTAAAGAAACAGTTAAACGAAGAATAGAAAATGCAATGGAATGCTGTTTTAGAGGCAGGAAAAGGTCGTTGGTATGCATCAATTAATTCAGAATCAAGTATTCCTTGGTTTTCTCGCAACGAGAGATATCATAGCAGAAAGTTTTATACAATAATGTGCAGACTTAGATTTGGCCATCATCGACTGAACGCTCATCTTTCCAGGATGAGAATAGTAGCATCTGCAACATGCAATTTCTGCGATACAGAAGCAGATCAGACTGCAGAACATATAATATTTAACTGCCCAGCGTACGCCATTGAAAGATTGCTACTCGTTGAAAAACTTATACAAGTTTATGAAAACTCAGAAAGCGTCCCGCGTGCCTTGCAAGATGTTCTTAGGAATACTAAGACATATGTAGCACTTTGCAATTTTATTCATAATACTGTAAAAGAAATATGAAATATGGTATCCCTGTTTTTGAAAATATTGGATTGACAAATCTACATGGATTGAAACTTACAAAGAGTATAATATAAAGAAGACTTGGCTTTAGCCTTTACGGGTTCTTGACAATATGAAGAATTAAAGAAAATAAGACTTGACTACGGCCTTTATGGATTTTGAAGAGATGGAAAGAAGAAAAATAAGACTTGGTTCCGGCCTTTACACTCTAAAATTCTATATATTCAAAATAAAAAAGACAAGGCTGTATGGCTTAGTTCTTTTGCCTGCTCTCTCGAGCGAATAATAAAAACAACAACAACAATGTCAAACAAATTGTAGAATGCAAATTGCACTAAATCTATAAATTTTATTCACGTTAGCTAAAACTAAATATTATTTTTAGGAAAATAAACGTAATTGTACGAGTGCATAAATATAAAAAAATAAAAAAATGAATGCACCACCCACATTCGAATCATTTCTATTATATGATGGAGAAAAGAAGTAAGTTAAGAAAATTTTAAAGAATATCTTTTATTTTTGTCATAAAATATCTTGGGATGTCTTTGTATAACAAGACATCATATCCAATAAACAGTAAAATGTGTGATGTACCATCCAATTTTTGCATCTTCATTATCTTTAATGCAGCACAAATCCAAATTGATTTTCTTTTCAACTTTTTTGGACTAGCTGATATCGATTGTCATGGTAGAAATTATTTAAATCTATATAAATAATAGAGGTTTCCAGTTATGCGCGCATCACTTAAAAACTACTGGATTGATTTCAATTAGGTTTTCCAAGTTATATCTTAGACTCTTGACCCTTTTCTGAAAAAAAAGATATTGTGATATCTTCATTTAATATAAAGTAATTAAAGTTTTTTATATGGGGTTTTTCACACCGTTAACTGTATGTCGCTCGCTCTCTCCTTACTAACCCATGTAATTTATATATTTTAGCTACACACGACGCATAAATAACATTGTTGACAAAGAAATATGTTTCTGTATTAAAATCTACTAAATCTACATTCATTATAATTCATCATATCATAAAGCTAAAATATTAAATTTTAAAACTACATTTTGTTTCATAGTAAATGTACCCAGACTGAATATTGTTCATAACAACTATTCTCAATGGAGACTAACCATCTGCATAGAACACAATTACAATGCACAAGTAGGGCCTCAGAATAAACAGTTTTATGAGCTTTTTGAGGGACTGTGCCAGGATGCTAGTGAGAATTTGAAATAGATTTTGGCATTTGATGACTTAAATCTGGGACCACATGATCAGCAGTTGTGCTTACAATCACAAAATCAATGAGGCAGTCAAATTTTAATTATAATAATTCAATGAGTAGGAAGTAAATAATCCAAGTTAATAACAGATAACTTTCTTTTTCTTCATTGGATTAACGGTCGAACACCATGACAATCAAACCATCTGAGGATAAGGTTTCCACAGCATAGACCTTTTTTCAGTTCCTCTTTTACGATACAAGCTGTACAACTTTGTAACACCCTCCCCAATGATATTAATATTAAGATTGCAACAAATAAAAACTACATTAAATTACAGTAGAATCTGTTTATTATGACTCTGCATAGATTGACCAACCGCTTATTATGAAGTAATTACACAGCGAAGTTTGGTTTTCATATAAAATTCTTTATAACAGTCGAGTATAATGACTTGCTTATAGTGACACGTTGCTCATTGTGACCCATTTTTAATAAATTGTGTTCGGTTATAATGACCGACGTGATTCCTAACACCTTCGGCAGTGTTCGCCGCAGAATCATTATCACAATTTGTCTATAGCAATATTGAAAATGATAATTTTACAATGGCAATGTCTTCTTTACACAATTAAAAAATACATTACATTCTACTTTGTACTTATTGCTATTAAAATAAATACATACTATATCTACATACATACATATTCCCTCTATTAAAATAAATACATACTAACAAAAACAGGAGATTGTTTATTTTCTACAAAATGCTTTTTATGACGTACGCTTATTTTGTCTTTGATGTTCATCAAACTGATATCTGTTTTTGTTTAAATTATGAAATCCTATTTAATTTGTAATCCTGTGCAAAAAAGTACTACCTTCTAAACACGAAAGTGACTTTTTTTATGTGTTACCTCATAACTTTTTCTAGGTGATCTGAATTTGATGATTCTTTTTTTTATTTGAAAGCTGACCAGTAGTTTTTATCGTTATCCTTAATAATTTATATTGAAGTTGGTTGTACAAATTTTTTAATTTTGCCACGTGTTTTTAGCTATTAAAAGCCTGCACAAATAATAACAGAAATCAATGTGTCATTGTCAATGTGATGCCATCTTTTCCACCGCAAGCTTACCTTCGTCATACCTTCTCCGTAGTTCGACTATGCTTCTCACATTTGCACCGGTGTGACTTTCCTCACAACTAGTGGATATTAGAGGAAATTGATTACTTCAAACAAAAACTTCATTTGGTTTTGTACTATTACACTGCCTGAATTTGTTTTGATTGTCCAAATATTGTTGACACTGCAAAAAGCCTCTTGTCTAATATCATAAGCAGTAAATTGGGTACAAGAATCCCATCACAATCAATGAAAAGCCTCAAAATTATTTTAGTTTTAATTACTTAAGTACAAAACACCATGGCTTACTCAATTGGCTTATATTACTTTCACAGCATATGCTATTTACATTTATGCATTTTGCAGAGTTCAAAAAGAAGAAGATACTAAAGTCACCAATGCTGCCATATTTACTGTAAACAAAGAAGATCACACACTTGGAAATATGATCAGACAGTAAGTAAGCAGTTTCCACTTATAGTAGTATATATTCCACTAATAATGGTTTATTTAATCTACTTATAATAGTATATATATATATATATATATATATATATATATATATATATATATATATATATATATGTAATATTAAGTGGTAGGAATATTTTTCCATGTAGGAGTCTGGGTAGGCACCCTCCTCTTACCTATTTCCGCTTCCGCTGCCAAAAATCAATGCTCAAGTCTAAAGAGTTTAGAGAGCCACTATAATATCAGTAATGCATTTTACACACATCTACTTATAGAGAGCATTACCAGCTTAATATTACCACTATGTTTACACTTACTATTCCTAAAGTTTATTGCAATTAATGACCGATTGGCTTGGTGTTCGCTTAAAATATATTACCAAAATAAAATATATTTAAAGGAACATATAAAGAAAAGTTCCTTCAAATATATTTTCTTTGGCCTTAAGCCCCAAAATTTGTTCTTTTCAGATGTTCATCTTACCATATTTTCATCTTATTAAGGTTTTTATTTTTATAGAATAAGGGTTACAAACACTCACAATACAAAGTTAATGAATACTCTGTTCCATAGACATCTACATCTTTTCTTAATAAAGAATCATAATACAGATGCGTTGTCACCCATGAGGACTAAGATGGAATGTCTCGTTTCCAGTAATAAAGAGTCTCCGGTTCTCTACACTCACCATGTGAAACAGCAGTTCTAAGCTGTTATTTTATGCTGATATTCTGTGAGAGCGTGGTTCTACCCCGGTTAAGCCGACCCATTCGTGCTAAAACCATTATATGGCTGCAGTGTGGCTTTACCATGTATAAGTTGATAACTTGTGGGTATTTTTCAGATGTAATCATATTCCAATAATATATAAAATCATAACCCAACAAAGATTATCATAAAGATTATGTATGTATTGTGTGTGTGTGTGTGTGTGTGTAAATAAAATTTGTTGTTTATATTTATTACCATTTTAGCCAACTCCTTAAAGACCCAAAAGTGCTTTTTGCTGGTTACAAAGTACCACATCCCCTGGAACATAAATTTGTGTTGCGTATACAGACCACATCTGACTACACCCCTCAGGAAGCATTCATGAATGCTCTAACAGATCTTACATCTGAACTATCTCTATTTGAAGAGAGATTTAAGGTATGTAAAGCAATGCTAATTTTAGATTTGTTTTATTTGAAATTCTTCAGTTATATTAATTTTTTATCATGCTGATAATATTATGTTTTCAAGTTTTAATTTTTTGGATCTGATTATTTAATATGTTATATAAAATATGAGTTGTAATTAAAAAAAATCTATATTTACAAAGAGTACAGAGCCGACTTTAGCCATATTGGATAGGTTAAATATTGTGCTACCTCATTAGAGGGTAGCTAAGGGTGGTGAGGTATGGAGGTAGTTCCTCTCAAATCTTTTCTTCTGCAGCAGACGCATTTTTATATACCAATTTTCGAAAAGATTAAAAGGTTGCTAAAGCAATAAAATAACCATTCAAAATGTTATCAGTTTGAATCACTTTTCCAACAGCGTTTAGCACTGTTAGAAGTTAAAGTTACAGCCTATTTACATCGCACTGCTAGGCACAGGCCTTCTCTCATTTCTGAGAGAGTTTTAGGGCAAGGAAATGTCCGTCGCGCTGCCCCTATACTTCTTGGCGAACTGCCCTAATTTTTCCCAAATATTTTTAGTGATCTAAAGTGGTATATAGCCACATCATCAATAACAGATTGTAGTACAGGACAAAGACATTTTTCTTTCTTCTTTCAACGGATCTTTGTGTACTGCTTGGTCAAGTCACTCGCACTCGTGCTACTCAGTCTTTGACTTCCGCACGAAAAACGCTATTTCGGGAGGCGTACGGCAGCATACACAGCAGCGGCACAGGCAGCACAAAGGACCCATTTCCATACTCGCGCTGCCACATCCATGCTGCCTGCCGCTGTTATGAACTGAATGTAAATGAGGCGTTAGAAATTCCAAGAAAGAGACCAACTAAGAAATTTAAGGAGTACATCCGCCGGTTTTCTTATTTGGTATAATGATTTCTTGGTATAGCCAAGATAATTGAATAAGTATTTTAATCATAGAGGTTACGGGCTACCAATTAGTTAATCTATATTTATGTGCGATTAATATATTTTTAATCCTGACAAAACTTTGTCTTTCTGTCTATTTTATAAAACTGATTACCTAACTTTACCAGTTTTTCTTTTGTTACAGGAAGCAATAAAGGAGAAGAAAGATGGTTTAGATTGAATAATTGTAAAAAAAAATAATATGTAATTATAAGATTTAGCTTAAGACTAACAATAAATTTGAAAATTCATTTTGTAAAACGTGGTTTGTATTCTTCCTTTTTATCACAGTTTAGATGTATGCCGAATCTTCTAGTATTCATGCGGATTTAATAAATTGCATACTGATGAATTTGGCACTGCGGTTGTACAATAACGGCTAATCTAAGGCCGTGCACAGCATTAACCGGTTCAGTGCGAATGGCACTTTAGTGCGTGGCGTATGACACGCGAGTCGTGTCTTTCTAAAAATCGTGATAACTCGCTCAAATTGCGTTTTTGGAAGATTTATCCAGAACAAAATATTTATTATTTTGCAAGTAGTTCATGGTTACAGCTTAGTTTCTGGATATTTTAAAATTTGAAATTTTTAGGGGTTGACAACCTTTTTTTATCTTGTACATGGTACACATTTTACTTTGTAGGTTTTTTAAATCACGTTGTGGAAAAAATAGCCTAATAAGTAACAAATAATAGCACTTATTGCGATCGCTCACAAACTCAAGTTGTAAACAAGTTTATGGAAAACAAGTCTCCTGTTTAAAAAACCAATGCGTTTCTCTTATTGTTTAATTTTGCTTAAAATGATTGAACTGCCGTCTTATTGCTATCATATGGCCGAATAGACCTACGAAGTACCGTGTGCTCTGGTGATATGGTATAAGGTTTATTTTTGCTTGAAACAGTTCGAAACCGTTCATGCATAAAAAAGTTCGCTAATAAATAGTCTTGTCAATTCGCCGCCGTACAGCGCCGGTTTTTTTTCCTTTTGAAAACACTTGTTTTGCTCTTCTTACTAATTAGACGGTTTCAGATCGACTTTACTTTTACATTTGTGTAATATATTTAACATTTGTAAATATCAATGAATCATAAACCTTATTTTTTTCTAAAATAAGGTTCTTGATTGTTTGATATTTACAAATGTTATTATTAGGTGAAAATTTAATTTAATAAAAAGCAAGGTTTTCCAGGGTGATTTAGCTGTATCTACATAAATAAATGATTTTTATAAAATAAAAAATAGTACAAAAGGTTTGTAATCTCTGCATAAAAAAGTCGCTTACTCTCAATTTCCAAGAAAACACGTAGAAAAATACGTAGTTACCCACTAAAAACAAGTATCCTTCCGTTTGTAACTGATGTTTGATGTCGACTAAACTTAATTAGGTCTAAACAAGTGAAAAAAGCATAATAAAGAACATTACTTTTACACACGCCAGGCGTGTCACGAAATATTTGTTCGCCACCACAGCTAAAAGTTGGCGAAAATCGGTGCCGCAACGAATCGCTTAGGATTCGAAATATAAAGTATTGTAGAGACTTATAACAACTTCGTAAAGTATTACAAAAAACATTTTTATAACAAAGCCCACACCTTCTTTTCTTTCATAGCAAACATGATCGTTAATACGAAACGCGTAATCATTGAGGTGTAGTTAAAGTTAAAAAGTTAAAGTTACAGCCCATATACGTCCCACTGCTGGGCACAGGCCTCCCCTCATTTGTGAGAGGGTTTTAGGGCAAGGAAATGTCCGCCACGCTGTCCCAATACGTGTTGGCGAACTTCACATGTATTCGAATTTTTTTTCTTATTTCTCAAACATGCAGGTTTCCTCATGATGTTTTCCTTCACCGCCGAGCACGTGGTAAATCAGCAGTGGTAAAATTGCAATTAACAATTTCATTGGTGCCGGCGGGGATCGAACCCGGGTTGATCGCGTGCTGTCAAATGCACAGCGAGCGCTAACCGTCTGAGCTACCACGGCTCATTGAGTTCTAGTGTCCGTCTGTAATACGAAATATGCCAAATAAATTATATAACCCCTTTTTACTGGCAAAGAGGCATTCTATCTTAGTCTTCACGGGTGACAACGCATCTGCATTTTGATTCTTTATTGAGGATAGATCTAGATGTCTATGAGTCACAGCAACCACTTTGGTAAGTGGTTGCTGTGTCTGATGGTTCAGGTGCACTGTGTGCTCGTTTGTCACCCTGTCTTATAAAAAAAAAATATAAGGACACACAGAGATGCTCGTCCATTTTAAAAAGAATAAAAAAATACATTGATGGATACAGCGGGGGTGCGACGGTCGTACTCGTACGAGATGAAGGCACTGTGCCCTATATGCAGGGTTATTTTTCAATGAATAGAAAATTTTTAAACTTAAGTTCAAATATTGAAATGATGATATACCGTTATTGCAGTTTTTGAAAATACGAGTAAATAAGGCTTCTACTTTTATTTGAAATTATTCCAAATTGAATGTGATTTATGGGCAACAACGTTTTTGCCTACCGATCAACCCTTACGAATGTGTGCGGCCGCAGTAAAATCAGTTAAAATAATGCATTACCACGCATTTTGAATTTAAAAGATCAAAAAGGACAGAATGTTTGATATTTATTTAATTAATTTTTATTTATTGCTTATCCTAACCTTCTCTCCAAATTTGGCTGGTTATTGCAAAATAACCCTGTATAGTCTATTCATATGTGTAATAAATACTAATAGTGAGTCAATTCGGCGACTAGACGGAGCAACGATGGGGCGCGGTATGAAAGAGAGCGGTGCCCCCCCTGCCCGCGACGTCTGCGGTAGTACCGGTCGGCTTCGCTTGCGTACCGGTACGCCCGTTTAGAAGTGTCACGTTCACGGAATCAGTTGCACGCTTTTGGTGTTCACCCAGCAACATGATATTCCTCGATATTGAGAAAGATTGTATGATTGCTTTTCATCACAATTTTTATTTGAATTATGTGTAAGGATGAGAATTCATTTTATCATTAAATGCAACAAAATACAATTAAAAAAATCCAGTAACAAATGTAAATATTTGTCGGTTGCACATCTGTAACGAGGCGGTTGAATAAACAGAACCAATGTGTAATTTTTGTTTGTTTCCTGTTTATTTATTCTGTTCAACCCCTATCAAACATTTTAAGCGGAATACCTGAGATACTGCTATATAGGTAAAATAAAGTAAAATTAGGTAGGTACCTACCAGCACAAGGTTTTTTTCCATAACGCGAATCAGGTGAAGCTGCGGAACGCAACTAGTTTTGTAAAGTAGTAATTAGTTTGTATCTTTGTATAAAAAATAAATTATTACAAGGACATGTTTTGTAGCCCTTGCACATTTTTAGCGACTTGACGTCGAGACAGCCTTGTAGGTATTTTGTGGTAGCGTAAGAATGTCGGCGCAGTCTGTGGAATCCGAGGGAAGTGGCGCGAAGGGTGACGTTTTCATTTCTTCCATAAATCATGAACCCAAATATTTCTTTTCTTATTTCTGATATTCTTCCTTTTCCCATCATTTTCTTCTTCTGCCTCACAAACAACCAATATGAAAATAATATCCAATCAACCATATTTGTCAAATAAAAGATCTAGACTAAGTAACTGAACGGTGTATATAGGAACAAGGCGCAGTCTCGCGAATGCTGTAGCATTCCCGCGAATTCGCGCAGCTTCCCACGCGACGAGTCGTAATTGACGCTTTCGTTACATTCCATTCCGCCGCAAATTAAGCTTTAGTATTTATTACACATAATATGGTCAGTCAACAAGTTCAAAAATGTGTTAATTCTTGTTCTTGCTCCTAAAATATGTGCGGTAGCTCATTCGATTCGGAATGACGTCTACAAAAATGTATCTCGAGGATTTATTAGCACATAAAAAATTGCAATTGTATATTTACCAAAATAAGACGAAGAAAATATATATGTTTTTTGTTAATAACTCAAAACATATTATTACTTAACAACTTTTGAATATTAAATTTTCAATAAAAAATCCATACTCACAGAATTCTATCTCCATTATTTATAATATCGCCGAAAATAAGACTCGAATCATCATCAGTCATCTTCACAACACTAGTCCTTGTTGAAATAAGCGTGCCCATTATTTCACCGTGGTATACGAAGTGCAGATTCCTGAAGAACTGATGACGTCTCCGAAACTTTCTTTCGGCTTTTTCCTTTATTTACGAAATAATTCAGTTCAGCTCGGTGTTAAATATTACTGTTCTAATTTGACGATTCGGCTGAAACGATGACCTTTGTCCTTCGACAGATAATTTATTAATGCCGTTATAATTATTGAAAGAGGGTTATATTCGGTGGAGGTGGACGGATTTTCGAATAGTTGGAAGAGTCTGATAAAAACTTTAATTTCTCGACATCCGTATACATCAGATTTCTGAAACATGGAGCAAACCGCTAATCGTTAAACGTAGTTTAGCTCTGAGAATCTTTTGCTTGTATAAACTCAACGGTTTCTGCTTTAAAAGTGTGCGAAACCTAGACATACTTTTTTATATCCATTATGAAAAATTGGCCATCAAGGGGTAAGACCGGACTTAAAATCACTTCTACTGCTTAGAGAACAAAGTTTATAAAAGGGATTTGTCCTATCTTTAACGCTCAAAAACATATTTCAATATGATCTATAAATTACTAGAAACATAAATGTTCCAAACGATTTTCTCTTTTTTGTTTCTTGCCATCCGATCTTATCCCTGATATAAAGAAATTGTAATTTTATGTTTCTCAAACTTTGTTTGCCAATTTTTCATTATGCATATAAAAAAGTATGCCTAGTTTTCGCACACCTTTAAAGCAGAAACCGTTGAGTTTACACAAGCAAAAGATTCTCAGAGCTAAACTACGTTTAACGATTAACGGTTTGCTCCATGTTCCATAAATCTGACGTATACGAATGTCGAGAAATTAAAGTTTTTAGCAGACTCTTCCAACTTTTCGAAAATCCGTCCGGTATTACCCCAACGTACCTTATCACTGAGACAATCTAATAAGTCAGAATCACTATGTACACTCATTTGAATGCTTTCATCTGTCGTGGTAACGCTAGGAGTCCTCTTACGTTTTTTGTCGTAGATTTTTTTTCCTTCTTTTGTGATGACCATTTGTTTTTTAGTCTTGGTTTTTTGTTTATATGAGAGTCGTTTAAAACTGTTAAATCCATTAAATCGTGTGTTAAATTGTTAGAAAACTAATTCTTATCATCTCCAGAATTAAGATTTTCTTTGTCAGTCCGAGTTTTCTTTCCTGTACCTTTTCCTTTTTTAGTAGTATATTTGTTATTATTTGTCTTGTCTGTCAAACACTTGCTTGTTTTTTCTCTTTCTTTTGCCAGTTTGTGTTTATTTGTCTCTTGTTGTTTTTCTAGAAAAGATGCAGTAATTACTTCCGCACCCTTTGCTATACGTTTTAATTTAAATTTCGTATTGGTCTGAGGATGCTGTGTAGCTTTTGCGAGAAGTAATTCTTCGAAGGAAGTATTTCCTGGATGCGACTGCTCGATGCTCTCTATAGAGTTTAGAATAAGGAAATTCATTGTTTGAGAATGAAAGAAGGTAGTATTTAGAGCAGACTTAGAAATACGGATATCCGCAGTAGAACCAGAGCGACCGACATAGCCCAACGGATTAGTAAGCTGAAGTGGCAATGGGCCGGCCATATAGCTCGAAGACCCGACAACCGATGAGGAAAAAAGGTTCTCAAGTGGCGGCCTCGTACTGGCGGACGAAGTGTAGGGCGTCCCCCCACTAGATGGAGTGACGACCTGGTAAGACATGCAGGAAGTCGATGGATGCGGGTGGCTCAGGACCGTGTTTTGTGGCATTCCTTAGGGGAGGCCTATGGTCAGCAGTGGACTTGTGAAGGGTTGTAATGATGATGATGATGATGATGATCCAATAACTAAGTCCCGTCAAAACCAGAACCGTTTTGAAGATGAAGATTAGTTCTAAATAAGTTTTGTAATTATCACTAGTTGAAAGCCATTGAGTTAATCAATAGCTATGCTGGTATCCCTTAATAAAGCTTAATATTACAATAAAACATAAGTTAGCAGAATATAAACACGAAAATTTTAATTTTAGAGGTCATTCATCACCATATTGCTTCGAAATGCAAATAATTATATATTTATTTTAACGTCTATTTAAAAGTAATAAAACCATCGTATTATTATATTACTTTTAAATATACGGACTTGAAAACAATACTGAGTCCCATAGTCACTTGAGTAATATTCGAAAAAATATACCCGACCAATGAGTTTAACAACTACTGCCATATTTATAACGGGCAAAGATCGGATAATATTCATCAGATCTTCACTCACGCGGGGAAACATCGGATCTCGGCCTACAGCGATCTTAGCCCTGCTTGGACCAGCTTTATCTAGCTACAACTTCATAAAACTTAGTATTCACACAAAATAATAACAAAAGAAGCTATATTCTCGTTAAAAATCATTAATAAAAGTGATAGGGAAAGATCGGATGGACAAAAAAAAATACAAAAATTACTTTGTTCTATAAAAATAAAATGCCGCGCAGCACACGTCCTACTTGCCGGAGCGACTTGCGCGAACTGAGGATCGGGGCAGGATGAAATGGCGTCGTGTGGCATATTGTTAGCATTGCAAAATATAACATAATTCGCCGGGAATTTGAATCCTACGGTCTTGCCCCATCACCGATCTTACCCCAACGCACCCTATAGTCCAGGAAATGAAGCATTTTGGCTCGTAATTTTTTCGTCCACCATGGATTTACTAGAAATTTTCACGGAAGGTAGGAAAATAGCTCATGGATCATTGTCTATATCATGCCGCTGTACGCTAGAGCCTTGGGGGTGGTTGCCACCCCATCTCGGGAGTGGAAATTTTTTATTTCATTTTAACCATAGAATTATTACGCATAGAATACTAGTACGCGCACCGAAAGTGAAGCAAGTAAAACTAACGCGAAACCGCGTAAGTTGACTCTCGACGACGCGTCAGTGCGCTACGTCACGTCTTACGGGGAAGAGCTCGCGAAAAATTGTAAAAATTACCGTTTGTGTTGCAAAATTTTGTCACAACGGTGATGATAAACATAAAAGAAGTGATGGTATTACATTTCACATATAAGTTTATACATTTAATTTATTCTAAGTACGTAAAACTAAAAAAAATACTTACCTAAGCTCTCATAATACTAATGTTGCTAGTTGTGGGGAAAAAATCACAATTTTCTTTTAAAAATATTTATTTTCTATTTGTGTTTAAAACGTTTAATCGCAACGCTCTGTGTAAAACTCAAATGTTTATATATATATATATACCTACTTCTCCTAAGTGTTAACATTATATTAACAATGGGTGCCTATTTAAAACTAATACGGAGTGATCAGCTAATCGCGATTCGTCGACGCCATTTTAACGCAACTATTTTATTTTAATTGCTTTATTTATTGACTAAGGCTATGTTTTAGAGTATAGAATAAAAACTTTTTTATTTACAACATCATGAGATTATTAATAAGAACGCCTTTACTAACCAGATGTCACTTTACACCCAAACATTAACCAGATGTTACGTTAGACCCAAACATAGCCTATTTTAACCGACTCCCAAAAAGAAAGGTTATCAATATGTATGTACACTGATTTCTAAGCTTGATCAATTCGTATATACATGCTGAAATTTTAGTGGTTGTTGTCCTGCAGCCAAATTATACTGTCTCGATAGTAGTCAATTTATTAAATTAAAAAATATTGCATTTAAAAAGGGCAGATTTACAATAGTAATACGTCACAAGCTATTCGGGCGTCCAAACTAGTTTATGTCGTATTACTACGTTTGATAGTTCATGTTATGAACATTTATTAGTGGCCCTTCACTGTGTAGTAAGCGCGCGGTAGCGCGTGCGATAGACGTAACACTACATTAAGTCCAGCGAATTTTTTTCAGACTTTATTATAGTAATTCGGTATAAGCTAGCCTGCACACCCGACCTACTTGCGAGATATTGCTATTGGTATGATATCGCATTCGAGTTTTGTTTTTTTCGATTGTAAATCTGCCATTTTTACATCCTAATAATTTTATTTTAATAAATCTATTCTGCCGCCATAAGGAAAAAGGACGTTTCTACATAAAGTACGAAACAGAGAAAAAAATAAATTGTATTTAAAAAACAAAAAATTGCGCTGTGCGAAAGGAAATAAACCAAATAATAATTTTGTGGTGTAAAAGTATTAGTGTTAGTGTTTGATCTATCAGCAATTATATGTAAGTTTTAATGAAATAAATTTTATGTATTCAATAAATAACTTTTTCTTTTTTGTAAAAAAAATGCAGAAAGAGGCTAGAAACGTCCTTTCAACTTAGTAAAAGTTTAAACGTCTTTCCTACTTAGTGATAATGTGTTACCAGGTTCTAGTTAACTGAATAAAAAAGACGTTAATAGCCATTTGCTGCTTTTCAATTTAGTAATACTAATATTCAATTAACTAAAAATAATAATACCCTGCACATTTTTAGATCACCAACAACCCTAAACCCTATTTAAACTGAAGTACGTTTTAACATGATAATTATCATGTATTAAATAAAACATAAAGTATAAGAATCAGGCTTATATTTCTTTTTTTAAAGAATATAAAAAATAGCAATTACAAACCTCTCATAAAATAAAGTTAAACTCAAAACTCGCGTTAAACTCTTCTATTAGAAACACAAATTAAGTATCAAAACAATCTAAGTTTGTATTTATAATTAATAATAATAATCACAGCTTTTTAAGGAATCTCTTATATTGAAGTCTTAATCTTATACTTGAGTGAGATCAAACTAACACTACGACTTATGTGTTTTTCATAAAATAAAAAAAAAACAATAATAGCAATAACAAACCTCTCTGAACTTATAGCTACTCTAAGTTACTCTTCTAAAAACAAATATTAAAAAAGCTACCTAAGTTTGAACAAATTATACTTAATATAAGCAATAATCATAGCTTTATAACTCTTGTAAATTTAGTCTTCATCAATTACTTGAGTCTGATCAACACTATTTTTATCAGTGGGTAGATTATACCAAAACGATTTTCTGTTGTCTGGCATTAAGGGTGTCAGTTTTTGTATGATCGCTGTCTTGCGCTCTTGAGTAATGCCTCTATACTGATTTTTTGGTTTTGGAGGTGGTATCCCAGATTTTATATTTTTTAATCTCAGAAAGTCAAGTGAGTATTCTTCTTCATTGTGGAAAGCAGTCTTATAATAAATGATGTGGGTGCCTCTAAGGAATGTTACTTCACACATATCACATAAATAAGCACAAGGGGAAGAATTTTGTAGTTTGTAAGTTGAAGAACAGTCTTCAAACTGACAAAAATCATCCATATTCATTACTTTAACGATAATATTTGTTCTGGTGTTCGATACTGCTTGATGAAAGTCTTCGAAATCATAGATGTGTTTCTTCCTCTTCATAGATTGCTCCACTTGATGATGGAATTCGTCTACTGCGATGTGCGTGTGGCCTACCTCTAAATATTTTAATGTAATCGTTTCATAATTGACTTCGACTGAATTAACAAGATAGAGCAAATAAGAATACAAATTCCAATTTTTATTCTGGGCTGCACAGTTATCTAACCATTTTTCAGGTCTCTATTTGCCTGCAAAAAAGCTCGGAAACAGCTTATTATGTCACTCATTTTGCGACCAGCAATTGCTTCATGCCATATCGCAGCATAGGTTTGCAAAGTAGCATTGTATTTTTTGTCACCTATTGGCACAAAACTTTCATTGAATACGATTACTCTTGGGCAAAACATTACAATTTTAAATTCTTCAATGCGTGGGAGCATAATTACTTTCTCTAAATCAGCTGCAAAATATGCAGTATCCGAGGTGATGTTTGCGTTATTTTGTTTTTCTACATCTTTTTTGTATGCTTCCCTGGCTGATGTATATTTTTCCCGGTGTCGTTCGTAATCTTGACAATTTCTGTGTGTTTTCTCCTTGTATTCCGGATTGTGGATAAAAAACTTTTCACACGCCTCACACTCTTCATCTCCAAGTTTTGTAAAACATATATTTAACTTCTTCACAACTTTTCTGTAGTAGTCATAAGAAATCTGTTCGTGAACAGGAAGGTCTTTCATGTTTTGTTGTTCGTAAAAGTCTCGATACATTCTGGTCACTGTTAGGTCAGACGGAAGATATTTTCTATTTGGAGCGTGCTCTCGTCTGTAGTGGGAAATTGAAGGATTAAAAGAATTTATATGTTCTACAATTTTAGTGTCGTCCAACTTTTTTGGATTAGGATTGGTTCCTCGCTTATCAACTGGAATATTGTTTGTTATGGTACATAAGGCGTTTCTTACAGATTTATCATTTTTTCGACTGTAACCCAGTGTTTCTAGAAAAAATACTTTGCAAACATTCACTTTTACCCCTGTTTCATTTGTCAGAAAATATAATATGCTTACGTTTCTTGGCAGTTTTCTGTTTTCTTTAACGGTTTTTCTCTTAGGATCTTCTTTGGATGTGTTATTTATTATGAAATACTGTTGCTCTTTCCAAGACATGTTTCTAAAGTGATGGTTTAGATTTTGTCGTGCTTCTTCTGTAAACTGGGTATGACATTATTTTTTACATCCATCATTACACCCTGGCTTAAGTTTATATTTAGATTTCATATCTTTCAGTTTTTTAATTTGTTTTCTCTGCGCCGGTGATTCATCATACTTCGTACGTTTTCTGATAGTCCCCTTTTTTGTGAAATTTTGTGGCGTATCATCGTCGCTTGAGACTTCAGGTGACTCAGGAACAGTGACGTTAATTGACGGTGATTGGGGGATGGTATTTGTAGAAGAATCTGAATCTTCTGAACTTTTTGACGGATCTAAACTTGAGGGTAAATAATTTTTATCAAAAACTGAATCATCTGAATCAAAATCCAGGATGCTGTCTGAGCTGTTATGAAGATCCGCATCATTCAAAGAGTTATTTTTGTTCGTAGTAGATAAAGGCAGCTCATAATAATTGGTATTCAGGTTTGACTCCTGGGAAGAACTAGTTGATCGCACCATCGAAATTATTTATGAGCATCGATTATGTCGCATTTTGTCACACTGAAACAAATAATTAAACAAAATACTTAGAAAAAATCACCGGTGCAGAAAAAATAAATGATAAAACTGAAAGATATTATCTGAATACAAAGTTTCTTATCCCACTATACAAAAATCTCATTATTGTAATAATAAAACAAGGTATAAATGTATAAACTGCAAACCTCTTCATTGTGATAGTTGGTACTCAACGGTGTAAACAAATTCGAAAAAAAGCATTTAGCTAGATTAAGGTGTTGTTTTCTAACCGATATATTTAATATTGAAATATTTTAACATAAAAGTAGGTATATTTATTTGTGTCACCTGTTAGGTTTGCAGTTTTTTCAATCTTAAATTACTCATGGGTATGCTTAAATATACATAAATTATAATTCCAGGAAGTTTGACTTACGATTTTTCCGTAGTTATAGCTCGAAGAGCCGCGCGCGCATTTTGTCACTCTGTCTGCCTGAACGCAACTGAAGCGCAGTATACCAACCGCGAGCCCCACTTCACCCCGCACAACTAGCAATGCTAAGTAGGAAAGGCACTACTGCCACTTGCGCCTGCCCATTTTTCGTAATACTACGCTAAAAAGGCACATCCACGCAGAACAGTCTTTTCTTCTTATGACCATGCAGAAGTATCTTTTCATTTTATGATGAATTAAATATTTTGTAAATAAATTACTAAAATGCGTTTTTTCAACTTAGTGGACTTCAGAAACGTCTTTTCTATTTAGTAATATTTGATTCATATCGCAGATGCGTCTTATTTAACAGTAAGATTTATAGGGTTCCGTTTAATTTATGCGAAATATAAAAATACTGGTGGATGCCAGTTTTTTTACTGATTTAGAACATTTATGTAACTCCATTTCGAAAAAAATGTTAGATACGTCTTTTTTCCTTATGGCGGCAGTATTGTACTACTAAGGCAAAATCATTTTACTTCGGGAAAACAACCATTAAAATTTCAGCGTGTGTATTGGATCAATCTCATCATCATCATTACAGCCCTTCACAAGTCCACTGCTGAACATAGGCCTCCCCCAAAGAATGCCACAAAGCACGGTCCTGAGCCACCTGCATCCATCGACTTCCTGCATGTCTTACCAGGTCGTCACTCCATCTCGTGGGGGGACGCCCTACACTTCGCCTACCGGTACGAGGCTGCCACTCGAGAACCTTTCTTCCCCATCGGTTGTCGGTTCTTCGAGCTATATGGCCGGCCCACTGCCACTTCAGCTTACTAATCCGTTGGGCTATGTCGGTCACTCTAGTTCTACTGCGGATATCCTCATTCCTAAGTTTATCACGCAGAGAAACTCCGAGCATAGCCCTCTCCATAGCTCGCTGAGCGACCTTGAGCTTCCTCATACGGCCAGCAGTGAAGGACCACGTCTCAGTTCCGTAAGTCATCACTGGCAACACGCACTGGTTGTACAATTTCGTTTTAAGGTTTTGAGGTATGTCTGACGAGAAGATGTGTCGTAGCTTCCCGAACGCTGCCCAGCCGAGTTGAATCCGTCTATTGACCTCTCGGTCGAAGTTGGACTTACCTAGTCGGACTATTTGTCCCAGGTAAACATAATCGTCAACAACTTCGAGCTTAGTGCTCCCAACAACTACCGGCATAGGTGTGACATGGACATTAAACATGATCTTTGTTTTGTCCATGTTCATCTTAAGACCTATCCGTTGGGAAACACTATTGGATCAATCTGTTCCTTTCAAATAAAAAAATCTAAATCGGTTTAGAAATTGTAGAACTCTGAGGTAAAAAACATTAAAAATACACCGAATTCATAACATCCTCCCTTTTTGAAGTCGGATAAAATTAAACATTACACGATGTGCTTATTGTATTCGAGCAAATTAATTGTGTTTAATAATATTCTTAAATTTTATTACGTCTGCATTTTTTACCATTAATATATGTATAATAAAGTTATATTAGTACCATCATTATCGTGTTTATTTTATTCCATTTTATATTCTCATAAAATACATCTTCGTACGTAACCTTTATTATATCGAATTTTTAAAAGTATTCAGAAAATAGTGATTTGCATAATTTGATTGCAAACGCCAGAAACTGGTATCAGTGAATAGCGTGTATGTGTGCGTGTGACGAACGTAGGCACATTCGACTCGCGCCCACTAACATTATGACCTTGCATCATTTTAACGCTCTTGTTTTTTGTACTAGACTGCGTTTCTATGCGTAATAATTCTATGATTTTAACTATAGGAATCGACAGAAAAAGTAGTTCTAAGAAAAAAATGTTATATACGTTTTTTTCGTAAAACTAATATTTTTTGAGTTATTCAAAGTTGAAAGTAACAGTTTTTTTGACGAAAAAATCTACTTTTTTAAATGTTTTTTTGCGAATAACTCTAAAAATATGCATTTTATCAAAAAAAGTGTAATGAGCCAAATTGTAGCTTAAAAAAAAAAACAAAAACAATGTTTTTTTTTAATAATTTTTCTACGACAAATACGAACTGAGATACAGCAACTTAATGTTTAGCTTTTTTCGTCAAATGCATAAATTGGAAGATTTAAAGCGAAATAACGAGAAAAATTTGCATTATTCGAAGAAAGCTCATAGAATGTTTTTTAAAGTATTTAATTAGAGCTTTCGAACCAAAAAAATGTCTCTAGCATGAAAATTGACCGACTTATGATCAAAATAAGATCGGTACCCGCTTTTTTCTACGAAAAAAATCTGTGAAAACAACCCCCAAAATAACCCCTAATTAAAATTGTTCGCCACCCTTCTGTGATTTCGGCGAGATATAGCCGTTTAACACACCTACATTTACGATCGAACATCACCTTATTCAAGCGCTTTAAACTCTCCCCATTTAAAAATTAAGGGATCTTAAATAATTTAATTCACATAGTCTTATAGCTCCTAAAAAGCCCTACAAAATCGTTTCTGAAAAAATTTCTATCACGTAAAATGAAGGAGCTATGCTTAAAAAAACCGATCAATTTTTTTTTCGAAAAATTCTAATTACCCGCTTCGGAGCGTAGTAATCTACATAACCGGTATATTCGGCCGTTATACGTTATATGTTCCACTTTTTCGATTCTTATTGGAAGACAGAGAAGAAGAAACATTTGCTCACGTGTATGCGTGTGTGAGTGTATATTTCGTTGATTTCTCACCAGTGTATTCTACAGTTCGAAGACAGTAGCACGTGCTCTGACAATTTCAATATTTTCAAGGGTAGTTTTTAACAAGGGTAGGTTGAAAGATTATGAAATTGTATCCTAAAGCATGAAACAATCATTATTTAACTATTTTTACCCATATTTAGGTTTTTAATGTTATTTTATAATTTTTGACAAAAAGGGGTAGTTTTCACCCCTAAAAAACAAAAATCGTACAACGGCACAATATAGAAAATGAACTAGAGGGTGAAATAAGCCTAATCCCAAATTTTTGTACAAATCGATGCTGGACGAAAAAAATGCGAGGTTTTACCATTTTTTTAGCTTCATTTCCTGGACTATTAGTCAAATTTTATATTTACGCTATAGAAGTCCGGAGTTAAAACAGAGTAAAACTCATCGCCGCCTACAAGAAAGGAGAGAACAACGTCGGCCAAGCCAGATAGTTTAAATATATTATATAACATCCTGTAAGGCCAACTGTGCTGTTTTGTTACAGCATAAAAGTTCACTGCTGAACATAGGTCTCTCCCACAGATTGCCTCATAAGAAGATTATGCCACAGTTGCCATGCTTGGCAAGCGGGTTGGCAACCGCAGTTTTTAATAATTTTTAGTTATCATCAACAATATGCTACCCGTCTCCTGTTTTAGTTTGTTTTAGTAGGGTCGATATTCTTACATCGCGACTGCGTGGAAACCGTCTACCACCACAGGGACCATGAGTTTATGATGTTATAAATCCAATAAGAGAATGAAATCTACATTAGGCATAAATCTTTTTGAATGCCAGCGTAAAATAGCAGTTCAAGGCTGCTATGTTTCGTATGGTGAGTGTAGACAACCGGACACCTTTTTTACTGGAAGAGGTATTCCATTTACACGTGGTAGAGCCACGCTGCAGCTATATTATTTGTAGCACGAATGGGTCGGCTCGACCGGGGAAGGACTATGCTCACATAATACCAGCCTAAAATAGCAGCTTAATGCTGCTGTGTTTCGTATGTTGAGTGTAGAAAACCGGATACCCTTTTTACTGGGAACGAGAATTTCCATCTTAGTCCGCAGTGATGACAACGCATCAGTATTTTGATTCGTAAATTCGTAATCGAAGATAAATGTAGATGTCTACGGGTCACAGCATCCATTTACCATCAGGTGGACTGTGTGCTCGTTTGTCACCCTTATCCTATATAAAAATATCTTAATCCTCAGGGATAACAACGCATCTGCTTTTTTATTCTTATTCGAGGCTACTGTGTGCTCATTTCGCTCTTATTCTATAAAAAAATTCTGTAAATTCTGATAGGGAATTAAGAAAAACCATTTATCATATTACTTTTATTGCTTTTACAAAATTTTATTCAATATTTCGGTGTTAATCCGATTCATTACAATATGTTGCAGGAGAGATAGATACAATACAGATAAAATCATGATTGTGAGTGAAGTCGCACTTAAATACGATTCTCAATATGCATTATATCCAGAAAATGCATACGAGAATTAAATACAATCACCTAATTTGTTTTAAAATAACATGCTACCATTAAAACTTAAATAAAAAGATCAATTTTTCTTATGTACAGACATTTTCTAAGATATCAACTACAAAACAAGTCATACCTGTAAATGGTAAACAATAAATAATACTCATGCAAAGAGTAATAACAAACAACGGTAACGTTATAACTAGTGTTAAATAAATAGCTGTTAAAAAGTTTCTTCTTCATCACAATTCTCCGTGGCGTGACCAAACACTGAAACAATGGAACAGTTATTATATATTATTAA